ATTTTCCTATCTTCTTATAGCCTTCTTTGTTTCTTCATCTTTCCCAATGTGTGTTGATTTAGTTAGGATGGGTGCATTTTTCACATCTTTCTAGGACCAGAACAGAGGTACTATATTTGGTTGGGAAATTATAGTCAAAGTTCGAGTTTGCAGCCAGAGGAAACTGGTAAAATATCAGTATCAAAGGCCTGATAAGAGGAGAAAGGCCAGTCAGAAAGTAAATTACAGCTCTGAATAACTGCTGTTTAAAGCTACTAAATAGTAATCATTTGTTACAATTACAATTATTTTCAGCTATGAAACACAATTACTCAAGTAGAATGAACTGATGTAGCGCAATTATATATTGTTTCTAAAAACGGCCTTAAAGTTTTGGATCCTCATTACAACCTTCCTAGATAAAAGCAGAGTGAAATTAACCTGATTCTTCAATATTGTCATGCTACACATGGTTCTGGGGTTTTGGCTTATGTACTAGTAGTGCTGAAAATTGTTACTTCCGAAATACAGCTGTAAAGATCAAAAGCGAGTATATGAGTTCTGAACCAATTTTAGAACCATCTGATGGGCCTACAACAGCCAGAGAATGAAAGGACTGGAAGAGTACAAAACAGATAGCATAATAATCTTGTACTCTTGCTTACACTTTATTTGCATTTGCATGCACTGCTTTCCCCTGCCTCCTTCCCACCCCAAAAAAATGTCCTTTATCCCTGACGTATTGGCTAGACCACATAGTATAATTATCTTGTTGAGTCCTGAAGGTGAAGGTCTTTTTCTACTCCATCATAGCACATTTCTGAGTTTGAGACTACACTGAAGCTTATTTCAGAGATCTTTATTCAACTCTAAGGTATATAAGGCATATAGCACTTGGACTAAATAATATACAGTTCAAAAGTGGTATTTATTGGTTGAAATACTTTCTTGAAAAATATCTGAGGCCTGAGTTCTTGACCCAAAGACAAAATGTGATCTAGTATACATAGTCTGGAATGTAACCAGTCACAAATGTAAAACTGTTCCTATGAAGTCAATTCTTAGTATGAATGCACTTTATTCTTGAGAAATGGCCTGAAAAATGTATTTTATGGTCACATTTTAATTCATTTGTCACTTATGAAAAAGAACTTATGACACTCTTAAGGAAACAAAATTTGAGTTCACTTTCTTGAAAAGCAGGTTGTACATGCCAGGACTTTTCTCTTATTGTCTTTCACCTCCAAGAAACACCTGCTAAAACTTAGAAGAAAGAAAGAATATTTTTTGGTGTTGAATGACTTTTTTGTGGTGAAGGCCGGTTAACATACTTGTCTTTGAAGTACTGTCTTTGCAAGTACTTTTTCCTTTGATCTACTGAAATGCATGTTTCATTTTTCAGATGACTTAGAAAAATCTTGTTGTTGGCGAACTCTAAAGAAATACTTAGTGCAACTGTGCTCCTAAGAAATATATAAAGGAAAGCAGAAGCAAAAGATATAAAGGAAAGGTGAAGCATGTCATTTTTAACAGCCTGTATTCCAGATCTAAAAAATATTTCAGAAAGAAGTGTTTTCTGATTTAGAGCACAGATATGCAACTCTTCAGGATTTTGAGATTACTGATAAATAAAAGGACCAGTTACCTTAATGCTACCTTTTCCAGTGTTTTATAAATAGTAACAACCCTGCTAAATACATGCATTCGAACTCACAATGATGCTCACCAGATGTATTTTTGCTGGCCAGAAAAGTAAATGCTAACTCAAAATTTTTTTCTTGCAATAAAGTCAACATGTAAAATAAAACAGACACAAAGAGCACTGAAGAAAAATTGCATAGCAAAGGGGTAAAGCAATTAAAATGTACAACTGAAAATAAAAAAAAAAGTTTTCTGCTTGGTGACTGTAATTAAAGAGGACTGCTTGTCTTACTGAAGCTATAAAATAAAATATTGTCTGCTTAGCAAATAACTTTTAACTTGCAAAAATATGCAGTTCTGAATGCAGATGAAATAATAATTTGGAAGAAATGTAATTTCTGACAGAAAATTTCCCCAGAATACCCACTGTACCATCTTCTATGCTATGTTTTGTAGCATAAAAGCTACAGTTCAAAAGCTGACTGCAGGGTAATATCAGGACAGACTGCAGGTTTCCCATTTTGTATGCATCTAGTATTTTCACTTTCCTCTAGATAAGGTATAAAGGAACTGTTAACATTTCTGCTCTGAAACTGAAGAAGCAGCTGCAGGATCTCATGCTGCTCTGGCCCTTGGTTAATCGTAGTGCTTTTTTTTTTTTTTTTTAACCCAAGTTTGGCAAAAGTAGTGGTCTGATTAGTAATATTTCCATGACATTTCATTTTAAAAATTGTGAGGAATGTTTTTTTTCTGCACATTCTGAACTGGCACATCAGAATCTGGCTTTGGAGCTAGTACTGTACAAGGACCCCAAGAACCTAGTGCAATTCTTTTGTGTGGATTTAACTCTACACATCTAGCCAAAGAGCGTCACTCTGATGGCGGTGAGGCTTGGCTTCAAATACTGAAAGAGTACATCATGACCATGCTGAAGCATACATATATGACATGAGGTTTTATGCCCAGAAAGATTGAACAAAGAAGACTAAAACCTTGCTTTTCATCCATGTTTTGTGCCTTTCCCATGCTGCCACTTCCCAGGTTCCTTTAATGTCCAGGAGTTTGTGCAAATCCAACAACATGTATTAAGACAGTATGAGGCATGGCCTCATGATTGTATAATGTGGTCCCATTTCCAATTTCAATCATATGACCAAACCTGTGCAGTAGGGTGCCTAATACTGCAGTCCTTCTGACACAACAACCCTTACTCAGTGTCTTATTGGATGTCTTTTTGAATGTATATACTCAAATTTTGAGTTTATATTAGTATTTAATATTAAAGTTATGATAAATGTATTTATATTGTTGCTTTTTTATTATTTTTGCTCAAACTCTTTATGTATAAAATTCAGATGTGGAATTGAAGCTGTGAGTTTATTTGAACTTCCAAGAGCAGCTATATGTGGCTGCTTATTTGGAGTTGGAAGTAATGCATTTGAAAGTCTCTTGGCTAAGATTACAACAAATTTTGATTAGTGCATATTATCTTCTCTTCAACTGTCAGGCTAGCAGTAGGCTAAGGCATCATCGGTAAGTACTGTTGGCAACAAGTCAGAATTTGGAAACAACATTTCCAAAAATACTGTGAAGGATTTCTCTCAAAGAAATATATCAATATAAAAGTTTCATCCTTTCTTCATTGGAAGTTTCATTCCATGTTATTGTTTCTTACATTTTTACATTATATATATTTTCCCTTCTGAATTGTTGTATAGCTTACATAATGTTGTCTGAGTGTATGTTTATCAAAAATTTAAAAAATTGAGTATGCTACATTATGTTGCTTCTGAAGATTTAAGTAGTATCTGCTGTTTCTGTTTTTCAAATATGCCTAACCAGAGAATGAAATAACCATGCGTATGTTGAAAAGACTACTACTTATGTTATCTTTAATATCTAACTTATCAATGCATAAATTGTTTTATGCATACAAAGGTTATTCATATAATGAACATTCAGGGTGCCCGCTATGAGTCTACAGTCTATTAGTCTAATAGTCTACAGAGGTAATTCCAAGGAACTCCCTTTTTAAATGTGATAAATTACTTAACCACTTAATGGAGAACAGCTCTGTACTGGTGAGAGAGGGTGGATGGAGTTGCATCAGAATATGCATTTTCTTCTGTGATTCATTACTGGGTAAAATGAGTTGCCCTCAAGTCTTTTTTGGTCTGTGCTACCAGCTGTAATCCAAAATATTTTTGTGGTCTCAGCTCAGTATATTACTCAAAGGAAACTGAATTTTAGCAGAGATTTTGGAAGCTTACCACTTGTGATTGTGGTAATATATAGGAGGGGGTGCAGAAATGGGAATGATTATTTCTTATGGAGCAGTAGTTATCTAGAGAAATAATTTGAAATTTATATATTGATTTTGAAAATTAGGAGACGTTCTTTGAAATATTTTTATAAAAGTCAGTTGATCTACTTTTTCTGCAAAATTAAAATGTGTATGTACTGGTGCATGGTTATGTAGCTACAAGTAATTCTTAGCTCAGATTTTCAAAACCTCTTTTTACATGTATTTTTTTGACGACCACGTTCAGTGACATCTTTCTCTGATACTGCTAAAATTCGTTCTGTCCTACCTTTATGCATGCTGGAGGCTTTTCTTGTCATTTCTAATGAACAAAGGATACTTCTTTCTCTTCTTACTTCTTTAATATTAATTCTTAGAAAGCTTATTTGAAGTCTGGGGCAAACACTCCTACTTTGCACATGAGCTATAGAGGGTATTGCAGGAGAGGGAAGGGGTAATTTTTAAGGTGTCTCAGAATTACTGGTTTAAGGACTGTTATTCACTAAGACAAGATTTAAGAGTGGAAGAATGTTTACTTAAAAACCTGGACTTAAAATACTGAAGTTGTGCCAAAAAAAAAACCAAAACTATCAAAATAAAATTATAATTTGCAACAGATATACTCTTGTTTCTGCAGCATCTCAGCCAGTTTCTGCCTTTTGGAAGAAACTGGAAGAATTTTAGATTACAAGTTTCCTTTGTTCAAGGTAAGCTGCCTTTTTCCTTTCCACCTAGTCTAATCGAAAAGGCCAAGAACAAATAACATCCTAAATAACATTTCTATGGCATCGCAGACTGGAAATTCTTTTTCTTTTTACTAATGAAAACTTAATGTTCCTGTCTTCTGATATATTGGATGTTGTAATACCAGATGTGATGAAGGGGTTTGTTTCCTTCTCTGTCCTCAAAGTTCAATATTTCTGGTATAAGTGTTAATTAGCACAGCTCCTTCCTGAGGTGATACTGTAATTATGAAGTAGCTTAATCCTTTTAATGGAACGGTTTCTAATTTAAGGCTTTTTTCAAAGGGGAAAACTACGGATTTTTGATGTTTTGTTGTCTCTTTCTCTGTCTCTAGCCAACAAGGACACTAGTTATGACAAGTATGTCTCCTGAGTAAGTATTAAACATTTTGACTCTTTAGTCAGCACACCATTTAAACTTGATGTTGATTATCTTTTTTATGCCTATACAAAATAAGATTGTTTTTCGGGCTGTGTGTTAAAATATTTTATTTTATTCTGTAGTCTAGCTAGAAACATGTACATACATGTATATGTCACTGCTATTTATACTGTACATATATGTTTGTGTTGCTATGGTGCAGACTGAAGTAGTTGTCCCTTAGGTGAGCTCCACAGGGCTTCAGAGCAATAAAACTAAAAGCAGGTTCTTAATTTTTCTGAAGGAATTGTTTTATGTAGTAAAGAGTTCAGACTTTCAGCCCAAGACTTAGCTTTTCTGCCACGAATTTTAATTATTTCTGTTTAAAAAGTCATAATCCGAAACATTAGTTTAAAACGTTTTCTTTCATACAAATAGTTGCTGAATAAATATCAGTTGTAGGATTTTTAGCCACTTAGTTTCAAAACATTAGAAGCAGCTGCCACTGCATATTTTGGGGGAGAGTTAATAATTTTCTGGCATGCTCTTATCATTCTCTTAAAAGTCTTACAGAGAAAAGAACATCCAACAAAAACACAATTCCATATTTTATACTACACTTGCTTACAGTTTTTCAAATTCTTTTTCAAAACTCAAGATATTTCTACTACCCACAGATCTGGTTTGGGTCTGAAATAATTGCATTTTGACAGTTACATAGATGTAAGTGATCAGAAACAGCACTTAGTGACTATCCTTTTAGAAGTTCTTTGTAAATGGTTGTCAATAGTTATTAACGGATATACTAATATATGTCAAAAATTTAAAATGGAATTAATACTTTTCCTGTATTTAATGTGACTGAATGCTAGTAACACCAAGACTATAAAATGCACTTTGCAAGGCATGTAATATGAGGTTGCTGTGGGGGAGGTAAAGATAATAGTCCAGTTCAGAGTAGTGGAAAACAGAGGCTGTGATCTTCCTAAAAGAAGAAATCGTGGCAGAGCCAGGGAAAAAGTTCTTTTGTTGAAAGAGGTCATTAATATATTATTTCTTTTATGTTGCTTGTATGTTGATTTTTCCCACTATCCAATTACTATTTTATCAAATAAAAATGCCTGGTGATAACAGTTGCTTTTCTTCAGAACTTCTTCATCAGGATTGTGCTTTTGGCTGTCTACAATTGTAGGCATTCATCAACTTGTAAATAGGTGAAGGGAAAAGGACTGCTTCTGAAGGAACTGCAGAATAGAAAATAGTCTTCCAAAATACAACCCAAGGGCCAAAAGCCAGTTCTGCTACCCAGTAGCTACAGCCTCAAAAGTAGTTCATTACAATTTAAATTTTAAGATGCATGATTTTTGTGGTTTCATGGCATAGGGTTTTGAGATCATATTAAATGCTGCTCACTGATTTACAGCTAGCAACTACCTGTTTTTTGGAATCACAAATTCAGAGAAATTTTGCTATGAATTTGCATCCGTCAGGTTTTGCAGCTAAAGGAAGTATAAACTGGTAAGTTTTCACTGCAATTTGTAAGATATCTTAGATTCAATTCTTGTACTACAGGTCTTTTTCCTCTCATTGTAAGGAATTTTGGGTAGACACAGGAAAAGAACTAAGAAAAGGTCCAGGTATAGCATGGAAATACATCTCCTGAGTATGCAGTTTAAGCAGGGCCATGAGTTGCAGTGTTGCAAAAAGACTCACTTGCAAGGCTATGTCAAATTAAAGCTCATAAAATGAGAATAGTAAATATTCTAGTAACATTCAAAGCAATATCACCAAGGCCAGAATTCACACTGGAATGAGGGTCAGCGTTTTCATTTTTTTGTTGTCTCTACATACAATACCGTCTTTTGATTTGAGTGTGAAGTTAATTTGATACACTGTTTTTACTATTCATTTATTTGTTTGAAACATCTTTAAAATAGATTGCTGGATTCTTTGTAAGGATTTTTTTTTTTTTCCAGTTTTATTGTGGTTCTGCTAAGTAGTTCGTTTTAGCTGGGGTATTTTGGGAATTTTAACTGAGTTACTTTCTGTGGAGGGAAAAGTAGTGAGAATGAAGTAACCCCAGAGAATTCTGGAGGTGCTCTGAGTACACCACATTATGTCAGTGATTAAATTGCTTTGCCCGAGAAGATCACCACTGTCATAGATGTGACTTCAATGCTGTCCTTAGTTGTTATATCTTGTATAGCATGCTGTGGACATTTCCAAGTCAGACAGCAGGAGCAGAAAAGGCATTGGAACTGGGCTTTCAATTATAGATTTTTAATGATCATTTATAATCGTGAGTTATAAAAATAATTATCAATAAGAACAGTAAATTGTTCTTATGTAGCAGCTTTTCTCTAGTTATACCGAGATCTCACTCTTTTCACAATGATATATTTATGTACTTCAGTGTAGCTGTGTAGAGAATTCAAGTTAGAATTCCAGTTATAGGTGGCCATTCTGGATTTTATATTTCATTTTATATATTTATTTATAATTGCATTTAAAGATAAGTGATTTTTGAATTGAAACATTGGCTCAGATGTACGGCTAGAACTTTGGGACTTTAAATTTAGACAGCATTTTCCTCAGATGCTGAAAATCTGGTGTTTCCTAATGAAAACTTCTTAGGAGTGCTGTGTCTAAATGTTTACATTTCCTGGTAATACTTTTTTGATAGTACTATAAAAGTAACCAAGAATGAGTCTCTGTTGTACTAGGCATTGTACACAATATGTTAGATAATTCCAGACTCAAAAGCTTCTATTTAAACAGACAAGATAGATGTGGGGGACAGAAAAGCTTTGATGTGCAAGCAGATATGATTGTGCCATGACATAAAAGGGTCTGCTTAGACTCTGGGAAGGCTAATGAATTTACGGCTAGCAAGTGGGTAGAAGCTCAGTGAGAAAAGGATAAGAAATGATTAGTGAGAAAATAAATGAAGTGAGTTTGAGTTGTGTTGTGTGTATATACTTTATAATCCTGCATATCCATACAACATTGTATGTTTTTTTCCCTTCTTTTAGGAAGCAAAATACAGTAATTCAAGTGGTGAATAAACTTGGAGACTTTTTGTTCTCAGATGACGTGTGTGAATCAACAAGTCATGTAGTTACAGGGAGTCCTCGTCGTACCTTGAATGTTATGCTGGGAATTGCTCGTGGGTGTTGGATTGTTTCTTATGAATGGGTGAGAAAATTTTTCTTTTAATTTCATTACTCAGTAAATTAAACTTATTTTGCATAGCTAAAATATCAAGCATATAGCTAAGTTTGTGTCCATGCTACATACAATGGCACAATGTTTGGATATTCAGACTTACCTAGAGTTAGTTCAGTAAGAGGAAATTTCTCTGTGTGAAGCTCTGTTGCTGTGACAGTCTTTCAGTACTTAGTATTACCAAAGTATTCCTGTATTGTGCCTGGCATATATTTTAGAAATGCCTGAACTCTTATCTCATGGATAGGAAACTCATGTCACATGCACTTTTTTTTCTGAAAAATTAAACACTAAACAAATAATTTCTTCTCAATGTTAGATATCTAAGTTCAAATTATTCAATTTGAAAATCTTTATATATATTATTTAATTATCTGTTGTGCTCTGAAATAATCATTGTGTTTGGCACTGGTAAAAATGAAGGGGAATTGTTAGATATTTTGCTGCATAGTAGGGAAACTGAAAAATAAAAAAAGATAATAAGGAAAGCTATTTGTAGATGAGCAGTTTGGAGACTTTGTAATTTAAAGAAATGGTTCCCAGACCACCAAATCAAATAATCACTGTATATCCTCAAAATTTCTTGCAGACTACCACGTAAAGTTACCAGACTGTCACTGTAAAGACAAGATAATCATGAATTTCTGTACTGGGTCCAGCTGTGATTGAGTTAATTTTCTTCATCTTACCCTGTATATGTGTGAGTTTAGACTAGTGACCAAAATGATGATGCTAACCCACCAGTATTTTAGCTGTTGTTCAGCAGTACATGCACAGCATCAAGGTGTTCTCTGTTTTTCCATCAGCCACCCCTTTGAGAAGGCTGGGGGTACACAGGAAGTTGGGAGGGGACTCACCTGGGACAGCCGACCCCAGCTGACTGATTTTTCCATGCCATCTGACATCATGCCTAGCTATAAAACTGGGAGGGGTTTTTCCAAAGCAGTCGTAGCTCATAGGCTGGATGGGCTTCAAGCTGCTGGTGGGAATGATAACTTTTACATCGCTTGGATTTTTAACTTCTTTTTTTCCTTCCCCTTCAATTATTAACTATCTTAATCTTAACCCAAAGTTGTTTGGGTTTGGGTTTTTTTTTCTTACTTTTGCCCATCCAATTCTCCCTATTCTGCTGGGGTGAGGAGTAGTGACAGAGTGGAAGTCTTACCTGTCAGTCCAGGGTTAAGCCACAATTGCCCATTGTTATAATAGTGATTAGCCATTCAATCTGATATTGCAGATGACAGTTTTTCAGCTTTCCTTATCTTTTCAGAGCTATAAAACTTAGCTGTTGGAATGTATATGGAAATAGCTCTTCATCTTACACATCTTATACTTTAAATTTCTTTGTTTTCTTTTTCTTATAAATACTTTAAAAATTAGCTGGTGAGATGAAAAAGAACTGCTGCATTTTTGTTTTCAGGATGTCTGGCACTTACCAGTATGAAGTATGTCCTTCATGGTATACATGTAGTTATCTGAAGAAGTATACTTTGGGGTTTTCAAAAGTTTTTGGTGATTAATTTCCCTTGGAATAAAGGAGTTTGCATCTTTGGTCACCTTAACAATTGAGTAATGTGCCTTTGTAGCAAAAAACCCAATAGCATCCTCAGTTGCATTAAGAGGAACATACTTCAGCAGGGCGTTTGGACAGTCTCTACAGGTGCGTTACAACCTCAACTACTCTATGTTGAAATATCTGTCCCACACTTAGGTTTGTATGGAGTTTTAAGTAACAACATATTTGCTCAAAGTTATTTTCTTATTACAGGGTAGTCAAACATAAAATCTGTATATATCCTTGAGAAAAAGCATCTAATAGCTACTAAAATAGCTAAAGATGTAGGTAACTACCACAAAAATACAGTACGATGGTTTTCTATCTTTGTATATAAGGCATTATTTGGAAATTCGTATTCAGGTAGTTGATGTCTGGTAATTTCATTGCCCATTTTATGCACTGCACTTCTGTGAACCAATCCACAGTGAAAATATCAACACATGCTCTTCATAGTCCCATTGACTAGTAGCAATGCCAATTTTTTTCCTGATGTCTTAAGGTCTACCTTTTAGAATCATCACAGGGTTATCTACAGTCCACATATAATACCATAAGTTAAATGGAATTGTTCCGAGGATCAGTTTGCACCTGTAAATATTACTGGATCAAATGGAGAAGCTATCTTCACCCATTTCATTGAATTGCTATTTGACAAAGTTCTGAAGTTACTAGGAGAAGCACATGAGAAGGAACTAGAGGAAAAAATCAGAAATCAGTTTTCCAAATCACAAGTGGTTCAATTTTACAGTATTTGCTTATCTGTGAATATTGGGTTTGGGTGGTTTTTATTTAGAACTGTGATTACATCTTTCACTGAGACTGGATAAAACTTTGTGCATACATGTCCAATCCCTCAAGTAATTAAGTCATTTATTTCACTCAAAGAAAATATCGCTTTGAACTTTTCAAATATTATTTCTTAATCGGGTTAGATCTATGCATTTTATCCTGTAAGAGCATTATTGCCTTATTTCTAATTGTGTCACTGGCACAATTTTGCCATCTTTTTACCCAAATTCCTTAACCAAATACTTTAACTAAAGAAAAGAATGTGGAAGTGTTACTTAACCATTGTGATGAATCCTGTAGAAAATTAGTCATGAGAATTTAAATTAAGCAAAATATTCTTTTATTAATGCTACAATACTGAATACTTTAAATGCCTTTCTGCATGGTAGTCAGTCCTACCATAAGTACTTTCATTGGTAAAATACTTCGAACTGGATAATTAAAGTAATCCAAACAATCCATCAGTCTGAAGAAATCTGTAGTACCTCTTAATCAAGGTATTGATTTTGAGCAGTGTTGATTGTATTGTGGAAGATGTTTGTCAACATTTTAAGAAGCTGAAATATTATTTATCTTTTCATTTGTAACTTGGAGAGATAATTTATACTGCAATGTTTCTTTCTTCCTCTGAGAAAAAATTAAAATTATATTTTCAGAGACGGATGTTGGAGGAATATCAAATTTACTGTAAAACATTTAATCTTCATAGCACTCCATTTACATATTTTAAGATCAGTTATTCAAGTAAAAATACCATATGATCATTCAGTGTTCTAGCTGGATGGGTAAGAGGCCTTAAATAAAGGCTAGTCAAACTGTGTTTTCTGACCCTTGAGAACTTTATATTTGACAAATTTTCCTGTATGGTGTGAATAAAAGTACATAGCTGATAGGGATATGGGAAGGAGAGGTCTACACCAAGGCTAGCCTTACAGCTGTATAACCCACAGGACACTTGTTGGAGATCCGTGCCATGAAGGTTGATAGCTACTGAATTAGATAAAATCATGCATACTTGAGTATGAAGTAACAGAAGGTTGATCTCTAGAGCACCAAGCCAAAGGAAAACGCACTTTAAGGTGTAAAAATCCCACAGAGAAAATTATGCTTTTCCTACTCTTCTCTTCCCTCATTTTCTGCTTTTTTGGGTCCTCCATGACCAAGACTACGTTCTACTAGAATCTGATGCTTTCTTAATATTGCAATGTTATGAGCTGTATTTTATTAACTTATGATACACCTATATCCAACTTGATCCATACTGTGCCACTTTATCATTATATTTTAAGCTAAATCTCTTGTAACTGCACATTTGAAAACTTCTAGATAGCATTCTTCTCAATATGAACACTTTTATATTCAGAAGTATTTCAGCTTTTCTTAGTCCTTTTCCACATTCTAAGGAATAAGAAGATACTGCAGCCTTAGCAAAAATAAGTAGTTTTCTCAAGAGTAATATTGCAAATCATAACATTGATTTGTCCTACATGAACCTGAAGCATTTTTTTAGTGTTGCTATGAAAATATACTGGTTGAAAATTTGTCTCTCCCAAAGTGAGAAGCAAAATTTCAGTGACTTAGAATGGAGAACTCTTGCCTATACGTTCATGGAAACTGAATGTTCTAGTGAGTGATGACCTAATTATTTACTGTAGGACCTGCTCATGAACTCTGTATCTAATTTTCTTTTCATGTAGGAAAGTATATATGATGCCTTTGAACTCAGTTCCAAAACCATGATAGACAAGCATTAATTCATCTTTTGTTAAGATAAACAAAATAAGTTTCTAAACAAAATTCTGTAAATTATTATAAAAGGATTGATAGAAGTTGTTACCATTAGATTGGCCGGGAAAATTAAATGGGATTACTTAATCATAACTAATCTTTTGGGTTTATGTTTTAATTTGTTAGGGTTGTTTGCAAGTTACTCTTGCTACAAACATCATTTTGTTACTATAAGGACACGATGTGCACAGCATGGTACATCTGTTCCCGCTCAAGATTATTTACAAAGAAATTATTTCCATGGGGCACATTTCTAAGAATTGTGTTAGAAGTTACAATTTTCTTGGTTCAGTAAAGTCGATTTATGCTGTGATTAAAAGGCAAATGGCTTAGATAACACAATTCTTTTATTTGCAATATATACAGCTATAAGTATATATAATGCTTTTCTTGACTTATATTTAAGCATGCCAAATGGCAACTACAGGAAAGATGTTGCAAAGCTCAAGTGTCTTTAACAGGAGAAAGTTGTAGAATTGTGTGACAGTGGACAAATTTGGCAAGGAACTTACCAGGCTTTTACCTGCACGAGAAACTTTACAGCTTAACTCACACTGATGAAGCCAATGAGGAAAATTAACTCCTCTTCCATCAGTGTGTGCTTCGGAATTTAGACAATCTAGAAACTAGTAACAAAATGCCCTTTATATGACTCAAGGGCAAAGCCACGGTAGGTACTTTAGTCTTCTTCCATTTTCCCATAAAGACAACATTTCTACCACTTGAAGTGTGGTAGAAGCCACTCTTTGTGTGGTTTTTAATATTATAGTCTACCAAGTGCAACTTAGAATGATAAATTGTTTTGAAGAATGGTTTAGAAAATCAACCCTAGAAAAATGCTGGATGGACTAGTTTTGGGAAAGATCATTAAAAATAATAATAGGATTTTAAAATTTAATGTACCTATACATAGAAGTAGGACTTTGATATTTTAATGGTTTCAGTTGTAAAATGGGCATCTTTCTGATTGCTTGATTTTTCAACAAATCATTTGGTTCAGGTAAATGAAATATCAAACTATTGCAACAGCACTGTTACTTTTAAATACACTGTCAAAGAGTTTGCTGTGTTAGAAATTAGAAGATGTCTACTTACTGCTTAATTTTTTTTAGGTTCTGTGGTCTTTGGAATTGGGCCATTGGATCTCAGAGGAACCATATGAGCTTTCATCCAGCTTTCCTGCAGCTCCTGTAAGTTTAATGGTCCTTTAAGCTTGTGAACTTTCTTTTGTGTATCTGGAAAAAGATTAGCCATCTAAACAGGCTTTGTGAACAAGAAGGCCTATTATAAAAAAGGTAATTTTTTTAAGGCAAATACTGTAAGGAGTTTGTTTCTCCTCCGTCCACTACTTTTTGAAGTGTGTACAAAAACTTTGGTAGGCATGGAAAATGCAAAAAATTGATCTACCAATTAATTGATTTACCAATTAATATCTGAATAAGTAGGTTCTTATTTTAGTATAAATGTTCTTTAATTTATTTGTGGTATATTTTATTTATATCTGTGCTTCTATATAAACTAGAGAGGCATGTTATCACCTTACAGAGATTATTCATGTCATGGACTCAGTATTTTCAGTTCAGAAATGACTTCGGCACTGCAAAATAACTGGGCTTCTAACACTACTGTGCACGTAAAATGAAGCATTTTTCCTGCCTTTAGTGATCATTCTCAAGTACTGAATTGTCAGCCAGTACAAAAGTATGTATGTGCAGACCCAAGTGTATCTGCACTCCATGTGCTGTACTTGATTAAATGGTAGTTTTATTTTGGTTATAAGCCAACTAAAATTCTAGCAGACTACTAGTCAATCACTCCAATAGTTTTGCCAAAAAAGGTTTCACAATTTCTCTTCTATTATAGCAGCAGCTGAATATTTTATCATCTGCTACTTGTTTCTTGAAGTTTTATATGGGCTTTGAAGAAAGAACATTTGAACTTTATTTTTACTATATTTGAACTGTATTTTACTGTAATTGTATTGACTGTTAAGAACTTATTCTTCTTTCTAAATCTGTTATTTATGCAAATTCACATGTTTGAGATGAACACATTATTTCATGATTTTAAGTTGTATGTTCTGAAAGTGTAGGGAAACTATAAATTATTCTGAAGTAAGTCCAAAGGAATTAATTCTAATGTAGCATTTTTTGTAAGAAGAGAAAATAGATTTTTTAATACATCAAATGCATTAAGAATGTGAAAAATAAATGAGCATGTTCTTTCCCCCCCTTTTCTGTAATCGTATAGAAAAAGAACACAATACTTGACGCTGAGTTTTCTGTTTCCTCTCAGACTACCTTGTTAATAACCAAGTATACTATCAGTAACAGTGTACACAGCATTCTTTGGAAGTGATTCCTGCTGGGGTTGTTTCTTTTTATTACAGTTTTTATTCATAAAGCAGAAGTAAGGAGGGCTCGGCAGATGGTGAGAAGATAAAATTGAGGGAGGTTATGGTTATGCTGAGAACCGAAATCGCTTCTGTTTGCAGTGTGCTCCTCTTCCAGGGGAACAAAGTCTGTGTCGAAGGTGTTATTTCCATCACCTTTCTAATCATCCCCTTCTTGAGTCATTCTGGTTTCTTACTCTAACATATGTCTTATTTTTAAAGATACAATTATTTGAGCATGGATGGTGTTCATATTCCATTTCTGTTTTCTATTCTCCTATTGTTTATAAGTATTTTTCTGCTTCCTAAGAAGTAATATATGAAAATGGTAGTGCATACTGTTTGTTTACAGGAAGGAATTAGAGGAAAGGGTTATCTTGTTGTTGTGTTTTAATGGCTTGTACCAAGTCCAAAGCAGTTGCAGGCTTCTTTCTCCTATTACTGCATTCATTCTGAAGAGTCCCCACTTTACTTTGTTGTTTGCAGCTTAGGCCAAGCAATATCATTTGGATAAAATGTCATTTTAAAATATGTTCACTCTAAAATATTACATCTGTTACATTTAGTCTTGATAAATTACTCTATTTTCCCCCCCAAAAATGAAAATGTCTTATTAAACAATTGATCAATTCAGTGTCTACATCAGTATCTTCAATAACCTTCCCAAAATAGTTATCAAAAAGCCTTAACCTTTGCAAAGGCTTTTTCCCAGCAGATTGAAACTAGCCATTCTTGTCATACCACGTTTTCTTACTAAAGTAATGAAGGGTAATGTCAACCAGTTTTAGCACTATTTTCCTTTGCCAGGTTGAGCATTCATACCATGCCAGATTCCGTCATGTGTTTGTTTTGTTTTGTTTAGATTATTGGGCTGGATATGCTTAATATCTCAAACACTGGAAGTATTTTGTTGTCTGATTAAATGCAGTAAAGCAGAAAATGCAGTAGACTCAGCATTTCTATGAAATTTCATAGAAACATCAAATATTTTAGATTGCAAGGGTCCTATGAAGATTGTCTAGTTCCGTGTTTTGCTTCAAGAGATTTTTCCAGTCCACCCTCATAGTAGTAAATTGATAAATTAAAAAGAAAAAGAAAATCCGATTTCCCCAATTCCAAATTGTTTTTGCTGTCTGTTGTTCCATTGCAGTGCACCTCTAAGAAGGGTCTGGCTCTGTCTTCTCTGTGTCCTTGATCAGGCAGCTGTATACAGTAGTAAAGTTTCCTCTTCTCTTTTCCAAGCTGTAAGCCACCAAGTCTCTTGGCCTGTCTTGGTGTGTTGTTTCATCATATGTCTAGCTCCTTTACTAGCTTGGTGGCCATCTGCTAGATTTGGTCTTTCAGTTATGTCTTAGGGATTCATGAAAGTAATTTTGTGACAGTTTTTGTTGTTTCATTTTTGGGGTGGTTTTGTTTTTTGTTTTTTGTTTTTGGGGGGGGGGGTAGTTTGGGATCCATATATCCTTACAAGTTTGCTAGGAGAAACGATAAAATATTAATTTTAAATACATAGAGATTATTTTATGCAACTCTTCATATGATGACTGTTAATTTACATTTTGTTAGGCTCATTTAAAATCAGATCATGAAGTCATATTAGAAGTTATTGCTACCCTTCAGCAATGCTGACACATATATTCCGTGAAGCAGAACGGTGGTAGTGTGAGTGGTGGATTGCTCTGACAGCAGCTTTAATGACTATCGGTATAAAATGAAGAGTTTTCTTCCATCTTTCCCAAAATCATTTACTGCTTTTAAGATACAATGCCTTTTGTTAAGTAAGCCTCCAGAAATCTTGTGTCTAGGGGTCTTGTTTTGGTGTGATTCAGTGTGACTATTCTATGATTCTGTGATGTGGTTCTAAACTTATAACTAATTCAGTCACCTGCTGAAATTAAAATTTATCGAACTATTATTATAAGGCAAAGACTAAGCATGAGAATTAAAACCTACTTTGGGAAAAATCTCCACAAAATTAGGGAAATATAAAGAAATATCTTCTGAACTGCAATGTACAGTACACAATTATAAAGCATGTTGTAATAGTAAAAAAAAAAAAAAGTGAAAAAACACCCAGTAGAGTAATTTATTCACATTGTGGTATACATTGAGGGCCTACCTATGGAGAATTCTTAGGGAGAAGTCCTAACATTACTGAAAAAAAACCAACAGTATGACCTTAGATAAATTTCAGGGTGGGTTTTTTCCTGTTTTAGAAATGTAGTAATTTGTTTCTTAAGTCATGAGCATAAATTTAATTGTATCAAATAACATGCATATGTTTTTCAGTTAGGTTATTGTTACAAAATGTATAGATGTACTACAGTACCAGGTGATAACTGATTGTCATACACAGTCGGACATCTGGTGTTAATGCCATTGTATTGGTTTATAAAATACTGATAAGTTATTTTACAGTTAAATGACAAAGGAAGGAAAAAAGTGCAATCTTCATAATAATATAAAGGGTATGCATAAGATGCTGTAATTTGCAGGGATTTTTGCAGCTAAGATAGTGACTGTAATAAGTACAAATTGAAAAAAAATAGTGATTTTTGTACACAGTATTTCCCAAGAATAAATGCAAAAGAATTAAATGCTACTTGTCCTCTGTTAAATAAAGTAATACAGGCAGGCTATTGGAAAGAGCCCTGAATAAGTATAAGAAGTTCTTTAGGAGGCTATGGGGAGAAAGAATGTATTCTTTAAGTACAGTATTCAGCTAATTACAGGACAGTGGGGTTTTTATGTACATAAAAGGCAAACATGACACAGAGAGATAAATAGTTCTAGATCTAGTTAAGTGTTTTATATTAGAGTAATGTTTAAAGTTCAGTGATGAGCCAAAACGCATATTTCTAAAACTATTTTTAGGTATTTTTCACAGTTCCAGTTATTTACTAACAAACACATACATAACATAAATGACCAGTAAAACAGTGTCCTTAAGTTGTCTGATGGTTTCTTGGATGTTCTTTTTATTCAGTTGTTTGGCCAAATCACTGTTATATCAGATTGACACTTTAGACTTTGTGTCTGGTTGAATAATATGAGCTTTAGCTGATCAAGGCTATTGCAATTCAGGAATTGTACTGAACCGATCCCTTCAGAACACTTGCATGCTTGAAAATGAGACAAGTTGCAGATGTGTGTTTATATGCTTGGAAAATGAAGTCTTTGAAGGCTATACAATACATAATTCACATAATACAAAAACATTTAGAAATCTGCTGGTCGAATCATCATAGTTGTGGCTTTGAGAGAGTATCCCGAGCCTTTCCAGTAGTACCATTTGATACCATTGAATTTGTTGTTGTTCTGTCGTAATGGATAATACATTCCGTTGAGGTTAGAAGGTCCGCATGCATCAAACCACCACCCTGCGAGGTAGAAAACAAATTAAAACATCAGGAGAGGTAATTTTCAAAGCAGTACATAAGGACACTTTGTTGTCCTGAAATGAGAAAGAAATCTAAATGCAGTTTTTTCGTTCTTATGATTTGGAAGTGTCAATATGAAATATTGCCTCAAACTCAGAAATGTATTTATGTACTGATGACATATTCTTGAAGCTTATGTAATAGACTAGTTTAAAATTGAGAAGGGAAGTTGTTCAATCAAGCTTAATTTATTATATATATATATAAAATATTATTGTTGAGAGTCTGAGGGCAGAACTCGAACTATAATGGTATCGAGTTATCTGGTTTTTATCTGCTCTTTGGTAAATTCCTGTTCTTCACCGATTTGAACTCATTCTTAATCATTTTGGAGGATTAATTCAGTTATCTGTTTCAGTTCTCTGGGCAGATTATTTGACAACTTGGTAAGAAGGAAACAGAGAAAAAAAGCTGCCCAAACTTATTTTGTATTCTTATGGTCCTGACTTGTTAGTGGTTCATAAGGAAAATTTATTTTTATGAATAAGATAATAATTTTTATACTTCTGTTATGATGGCGATAATGTGTGTATTCTGTTTTGCAGGGCAGTAATCCAATTAGACTTTTGGATAAACTGAAGCTGTCTTTTGTCTTACAACATGTGCTATAGGGAAATGAACCACTGCTTAAGAGATAACAGGAAGAGAAGTCACCTTTACAAAGCAGTAGTTTACATTTCAGAATGTGGAATTCTAGGTTGATAAATTACAGAAGCTTCTACAGTTCAAGATAAAAATATCACCTAAAACTCCAATAACTGATGAACAAGCATTAGAAAAAAGCAGATGTGGTGCATCTTGTAATTTTGTAATTATATTGAAAAATGGAATTAAATACTTGTACCCTGCTGTTTTATATACAATATACATCAACTTTTCGGGGCTTTCTTCTCCTCTGGATATTTAGGGAAAGGGTTTGTGTCTAAAAAATTAGGAGCCATTTCACTGATGAATTGTGAACCTCTAAATAGCAGGATGAGGAAGGAGAGACATGGATGGGACTTAAGTATTTTGATCTCTGAATGTTATCTCATTCCTTGGAAGAAGAATGCTGTTCCTTTGACCAGTTCCACAATTACACTTTCTTGTACCCCAACTGTAGAGATTTTTTCCCCCTCCAGTTTTAACTTCTCTTGTTTTGCTTTAACTAACTTTTGTCAAATGATAAAATATTTCATTTGGAGCCACCGTACCAGCATTTCTATCAGTGATTTTGGACTTCTTCAGCAGTCACAATTTACTAAAACCAGATTATCACTATTTATCTCATAGACAATTTCAGTGCCAATAAAAATAGGAAGACCAAGAAACAAAAAAACATTCCTACCTCCTGTTAGCATTTGTGAACATTTGCAAATACATTTGTCATTGTCTGCATCCTTTGTGCTAAAATCATTTCCTGGCTGGCTTATACTACTTATTTTGCCCGCTGTCCCAGTAAGTCCTTTAAGGTAGATCCTGTAAAAATGAGGAATGGAAAAACAGTTATTATGTGGAAGTTAATGGTAGTTGATCTATGACATAATGATGGAATAGTTTGCAATAAATATCTTGTTCAAATAGTTGAGTTCACTTCTGGCCAATGTTCTGTTTTAAGCTGTTTTGCAGCATAATGTTTTCACATGAGCAGGAATAGTCAGCACAATATTCTAATGAACAGCCTCCACATTTGCAGAAATGACTGTTTTGTTCATGTCATATTAGATGAAAATGAGAGCAAGTAGATACTAACTCCTGCAACTTTTCATACAGATCATGCATTTTTTAACACTGTAAGTACATTACGCAATTATTTTTTTTTAATCTGCTTCAAGGGTTTAGGCCAAAACTTTTTTATTCTTACTTTGCTGTTAGCAAAACATGGCAATTTAGCATTACAAATTTGCATGTGCAGGAGATAATAGCATTACCTGGACTATTAATTACTAACTAGTAACTGGTATTTTAGGAGTTCCTCAGTTATTTTGCTTTTCACTTTCCTAATTACTCTTCTTTATTTAATGTTAAATCCTCATGGGTATTTAAGTTTCCTTCTCCTGTCAAGGTAAGCTTTCAGTGAGGCTGCTACTGTTTGGATCTGGTTATAAGGTGCAGATGCAGTCTCAGTGGCGAGGGACACACGGCACAGAACTGAGGAGGCAATTACTGTGCTACCTTGAATTATGAGGACTTGAACCCTCTTCTCCCACAGTATCTCTTTGGTGACTGTATTTCTGTGTCAAACAGCTCATCCTTCTCGTCATATTCTGTTTGCTTAAGGAGGAGATCTGACTGAGGAGAATTAATCTGTCCCCACATTAGTCTTTATCTTGCATGTAATTCTCTGCTTATGATAGAATTTGGTTTTAGTGGTTTAACAGATTATTTTCACCCATTTTATATTCTCTATTTGAAAATATTAAAAGTGAATGAATTTTTATTCATTTATATTTCAAAAGATTGCCTCTACAGATTTTCTCAAAAACCTTTTTCAGAAGTCAAATATCCTGTTTTTTCTTCAGGTAAGGTCAAAATTCTGTAAGGCAGTTTCTAACATCAGTGGTATTAAAGATTCCAATATAATGTATGATTTAGGCTTGATTATCAAATATCAAGTCTAAGGTAAGAAAGGCATTATTCATTTATTGTTATTATTCCATTTTTAAAAGTACTGCTTAGTATAACAAGAAGATGAGAAGCAGCAGATGTAAACTGAAATGAGAGGCTCTGGCCGGATATCAGGAAAACCTTTTTCACAACGAGGAAGGACAAGCAGTGGAGCAGGCTGTGCAATCTCTACCTTTTGAGGTTATAAAGAGCCAACTGAATAAAGCCCTGAGCAACCTCTTCTGACCTCGTATCTTTGAGATCAGGAATTTTGACTCAAAGTCCGTTTTGATCTCAAATGTTCGATGAATCTATGAAACACCAGTTTCATGGCCCAACTAATAATCTTTCCAGCATTCAGAATGTATTAATGCTCTTAATTGAATACTTTCCTAGGGGGTTTTTTTGTTTTTTTTCATAATGTTAAATATATTTTTTAATCTACTGCATTTTATGATACATTCCATGTTTGGCTGCATGTTAAAATAAAGTATCATTTTTCAGATGACCATCTTAGTTTTCAGTAATTGTTTTTTAATATTGTAGATGGATGGGGTAATAACCGATTTTGCAAAGGTTGCCTTTATAAGTATTGTAAAGCCTTGCTTTAAAAAAATCTCTGCTGTAGAATCTGACTGTTTCCAGATGAAAAAAAAAAAATATTTGTTTTGGAATTGAGACAACTGTATACTACTAAGGCATTAGATCTAACAATTTGGCAGAGGAGGGGGGATGCTGACAGTTTTGGATTGCATTGCACATAAACTTGAGTTGAAATAGCATCGATTTTCTTAGGTGTCAGACTGACTTTGTTTACAACAAATAGTTGCTAGAAATCTTGGAGAAATTCATCTGAGTTTAGATAGCTTTTCTGTACAGTCACCTAAAGCTCCATGAATCTAAGATTCTTATAAACATTTTATGGGCCATGTCATAAGAAAGCATCTGTTACAGTGTGGAGTCTCTAGTTTCTTCTATAAGCAATCAAACAGTATGTACTACGTTTACAGAGAGCCTGGAGAATGAAGTATGAAATGCCCACATATTTCAGCTGTAGCTAATACTATTTAAAATATATAATACTGCCATAATATTTATTTATATATATTTATTTGTAATTAGTATTATTTCCTATTTTAACAAAATATGTGAGAAGAAATTGAGAAGCTTCATGTTTTACAGAATTACGGGAGCATATACAATAGGTCCATTAAAATCTGGTGTTTAAATTGACAAATTTGTTGAGGGGTGAAAGCATACATATACTGTTAGCTTAATTTTCACAGGTAGGAGAGTTATTCTTTGGCAATTCAAGCCAGTGGGTCATGGAAGTAGAAGGTAACATTACCTCTGTATGCTGTTCATGACAACAGAACAGCTCCTACTAGTCACAGATTTAAGTGGAAAATCTCCTTGCAGTATTATCCACTTTAGTTATCCACCTTCCAGAAATTAACTTACTGCAGGGAACCAGAACACGACAGCACTTGCAGACAGGTTCCTGTTGCGCTGAAAAGTCTGCACTGCCATTCATTATTTTGGCACATGTATCCTGTCTTATACCATGCCATCTCATCATCTTTGTACATCTTGTGTGCTACATTCACCCAGTGTGCATTAGAAAAACACACATTCTCTCCATTGAAAAATTTGCTTTAGGCAATAGGTGAAAAATGGAGCAAGAATTTTCCGAGTGAACTGAAAAATCATATTTCATATGAAATATGATCTTGCATCTACACAGTCTAGAATTATTATTAGCTAATTTTTTTAAATTAAGATCTGATTTTTTCTGCTTACCTGTATTTTTGTTCTTCACTTGCTAGAGAGAAGTGGTCATACAATGAATATGCCTCATTCCCTTCCCAGTCTTTCAGGTGTATTTTAAGAACATAACGCTTCTGATTAGTCAGTTGAGAAACAAACTCATTTCCCAGCCAGTACTCCCCAGCAGGATCACCAAATCCCTGTAATTCAAGCAGTATATTTAAATAGCTTTGTGGGTTTTTTTTCTTTGAGTTTGAAATTATCACTTTATCAATTTTTAAGTTTAATAGTTTTCAGTCTGTCAACTAAGAATTTACTGTCTATGGGGGTCACAGATCTGCCATATTTCAAAAAGTTAATTTCAGTGAAGACAAACTCAGGAATCTGAAATAATGAATCAGTATTACTTAGTAGGGTTGGAGCAGTTTCTACTGTTGCCAGTAGAAACACAAATATAAACAACTCAAAAAATGTGGACATACGAAACAGTTGACTGAAGAAAAGTGAAGTTTCTCTTTAAAAAACAAACATCACACTTGCAAGTCTGCTTAGACAAACAACTTGTTCATTTCGAAAATGTTAAAGTAGTATATCTAAGGACAAAGATAACTTTTAGTGCCTGCTTGCATTCTAAGGATGCCATTAATGCAACTTTATTATATTAGATTTCAGATAATGACATGGAGGCTTCAGAAAACATTGTTTACCATCTTGTACTCCTTCCATGTCCGGTGAAAGTCCAGACTGCCATCTTCGCGTCTCTGAATAACTGTCCAACCTCCTCCACTAGTTTCCATGTCACAGTAGGCCTATCAGAGTAAGCATGTAACATAAGTGCATGAAATCATGGCAAAACAAAAATACAAAGCATTTGTGCCAAGTTTTAGTGTGCACAAATGCAAAACATGTATTAACCTAAAAATGCTGGTTTTCATAGCCTTCATACAAATCACCTGTGGTTTCCCATGAATAAATATGATTTCTCAGTATATATGATGCTTAACAGAATACAGATGATGCCTTAAAAATGGCTGATAGCTGGTGTTGAAGGAATTAAAAAATGAATGTAGCTTCTGATTCTATACTTCCCTCTTGTGCTGATATTTTTGTGAGTTTCCTGATGAAGTATCTCTCCCAAAAGATGTTTTCACTTCTCCATCTCTTTTTGTGAGAGATCCATTCAAATTTCTATGGCTTGTCAGTTTAACATTAACAGATGTTATCATACTGTTAAATTCAGGCAATGAACAAGCTGAAATATGGTTTTATTTCTATTGTCATTGTTCAGTGCCTTTGCAGATGGTCTGACCCCAAAGTTAAATCTAAATATAGAACAATTATCTGAAAGTTAAATCTTGTAGCCATGTTAATATACAGCCTGTAATTAATATCTTATATTCTAGAACAAAAAAATAACCGTATGTCCAAATGTTCATAAATCATCTTTGATTTTGCCATGTTATTGCTAAACATCTGAGAGGATTGACACACAATAAGCAGTTCAGTGAATTCAGTTTTAGAATACCCAATAAATGCATCCCTCACGCAGTAGAATTCAAGTTAATAAGTGATTTGTTCAGTCAGCCTCCTTCTAGATTAAAATAGAAAGTGACTGCCTTAAATAAAATTCTTGTGTATATTCACTGCAGTGTCAGAGATAAAAGGTATTACTGAAGGTGCCAATATACTGGGGACACTTATTACAGCTGCTTGTCACAATGTGCCTATAAATGCCCCAAATTGTGACTGAATGACACAGATGCTATATGTCTTTTTCATCCTCTTCTGTGGGAGGGCTGTCTTATCAGTGTTAGCAGATTTGAGTTCTTTGAACTGTTAGTCATCCTGGAAATTCGCTGAAAAAGTATGACTTCAAAGAAGCTTCTGTTCTGGCACATTGTTTTGTGCGTCATCTTAGGAAGTAAAAGTGGGCTGAGTTTTCAATATAGTTATCACCTATTAAGTAAGTGAAATATTTAGCTTTCAGGCTTGACTGGCAATCCAGAACACTGTCTTTCAAACTCTCACATATGCAGCTTTGCTTATGAAATCATTCCTTTGCTTTACAGATAATTTCCCTAGAAATCAATTCTCTGAATAAACAAGATGAAAATATTTACTTTAACACTAGGAACTTCAAATTTGCATACACACTTGATTTTTAATTTGGGAAAAAATAAACTATGAAGAAAAATGGCAGTAAAGATTAAGGAAAGTAAATTAATGAAATAAGTTGGTCTATGTTTATTACTTTTTACTACATATAGTTAAGTGAATGATATATATTCCTAACTAATTTTAAGGATGGAGATACGCTATTCAGTAAAATGAAGATTAAGGAAAGGACTCACTTAGTTTAAACAATAAATTACTGCGTCAAGTCTGCAGAGGGAACAATTTCTTCATGATATATGTGAAAGATGAAGGGAGATGAAGCATTTCTTTGGACTATAACTTCTTTTTTTTAAAAAAAAAATCTTCATTCTCCAGTAAAATGATATGCATGTGAGGCTTTCTCTAGCACTCATTACTAGAACAGAACTCTTCTGAACTTTCAGCCTACCCTAGGTTTTATATTCAAAAGGAAGAAATGTAACATTTCATATGCCTAGTACAAATAGATACCAAGATTAGGCAGGCAGCAGGAGTCTTCAAGCAGATGCCAAAAAGAATAAAGATATTAGCCTCTCAAATTACAACAAATTGGCAGGGGGAATATTTGATTTATCTTGTGAACTGCTTCAGTATTTACAGTTCTAGCAGCTGTAGTACTATGAGAGCTAAGGTCAGCCGTTTATGTTTTTCACCTTCAGCTAGAATCAGTGCTGTGTTTTTGAAAATGCTGTAATGTACATGTCACCAGGACTAGTCCCCTTTCCAAAGATGTGTAAGCTATGAGCAGTTTGATGACAGTTTAATGTCTTAACTGTCCAGGAAGTTGACTTTCAGTATACGTAATTTTTCTTCTTTATTCTTGTACATTATTTGGGGCATAAGAGTTTTCAGACCTACTTTCTGAATAGTAAGGCTGAAGAACCACTCTGATTTTTATACCAAAGCACTTGTGGTGGCCATATCTGTGCAGAGTCCATTCATATCACTTTTGGCTGTTTGAACGTTTCTGAGTCATGATGCTTAACGATTTTGTATTCTGCTATCTCTAGCTCCCAAAGATGTAACTAGATAAAAATTGTGGTCTTAGTTTCTCTTTTCTGGGGAAAAAAAAAACAAAAATACAAACAACCTACATGTGTGGTTTATGATGTAATTTAACCTAATACCAGTTACCAGTGAAAAAGATATGATGAAACTTCTAAAATTTAAAAAAAAAAACAAACCAAAAAACAAACAAAAAAAAACCCTCTCATCTGACTTCTTCCTGTATCAGAGAAGCTACACACATGCTCTTTTTTAATGGAATTAAAACTGGAAACAATCTCTGTATGTTTATTTTAGATGTAAGGTCCATGGCATTGGCTCCTTTTGAAACGACTACCTAGTTGTCCAGATAATCACTTTTTAGGAAAGTTACGCAGAACCATTTTGTTGATAAATTCAAACTTGCCCAAATCACTGTCCGCAAGAAAGTTTTGGTTAAAAAAGCCTTGGCTTGGAATGTGTGTCAGTCAAAAAATTCAGCTCGACAACGGGTGGAAATGGGGAAGAACTTAGCCATTGCTTCTCTTCCTATTTTAAGATCTGGGGTAATGTGGTCATAATAGTTGTGTAAAGGTTGACCTAATGTATTAGGGTCATCTAGACCAGGATTAACCAGATTAATTAATCTGAAGGTTAATGTGTTCAGGTGCATGCTGTAAACATGAGGCAATTGACTTTTCATGATTTACCTCTGCCATTTTATCTTGTGTCAGCAGTCTTTTGCTGTTTTTCCTCAGTGTTTTTAGAAGGACTCAGCTTTTGTGCTGGTGTAGAACAGGAAAGCTTGAAAGCTTGAAAATATTAATGGAATGAAATAATTGTTTTCCTCTCAGCTCTTGTATGCAGTTCTTTAGTTCTGGATTATGATGGGAAACAGATTAGTAAAGTGTGATCAGTTACAGATTAGACAGAAGTTGTTTGTAAGCCTGTTGGGAGGTCAGAAGGTGTTACAAGAGGAAAAGACAAAAACATAAACAGCAGTGCAGCACTTCTGCACATAAAAAAGGTCATGCTGTTTCCTGGTCTGAGTGGCCATCCACATCATAAACATTTGAAAATGGTGTAACATGTTGATTATCCCTAAACCTTAACTTCCCTTGACAACCCCTATTCACATTTGTATTTATATAAAAAATCTGCTTCGGGTTAGAACTTTTTAGTCTTCTATTTTCCATGCCATACAGTAAATAAACCTTTGCTGTCTTTTTAAGTGTCTTTTTCATTCTATCTGAAGGAGTCAGAATAAGAATAAAATCCCTGATATTAGTAAATTAATTACTAATTTAATCAAATCAGTACATTTGAACTACTTTCTTAACCTAGTCAATTACCAGAATAGGTATTTTTTTTAAGTGATTTAAGCCTCCAGGTTCAAATGTTTAATCTGATATGATTAAATGTTTAATGTCCATTTTAATGTTTTATATTTTAGGAAATTTTTGATTGTATTTTTGTTTCAGGGATAGAATATTTTGGTAGGTTTTAATTTTGTAGAAATGTGCATTATTCAGATCATATAAATTGCCTAAACATGTATGGCTTTGAAAATGCAATGTTAAAGTTTATGAAATTTTCATTCTGTAATATGGCATGTAGTTGTGTCTGCTTTTAGAAAATATGAATGCTATGTACATTATTTTTGATAGTAAAATTAAAACCAAAGGTAAAACCCTGAGAGAAGCAATATTAAGAGAATCAAGGAATGTAATCATTCCTGAGATGTCTCACAAAGACTGCTGCAATCTATTACTTTAGAGATGCAGTAGCTTGCATCTCGTTTAGCTTTTAAAACTGTGACTGTAGATAAATATGCTATATTTATCGAATATCTTCTATAAATATTCTGCTTCATGTGTAATAAACCACTTTATTGCATCTTATGTAACTTTCTTGTGAAACAGATGTATTGAATATAGACTAGACTATTCCAAAGGAAAACCAGTCTCTTTTGTTTTTTTTTCTTTCCCAAAGGAAGCAAACTGCATAATTTCTCTAGATGATATCTGCAGAAATTGTAGATTTTATGTATTGTATTTTATAGAAATTATCCAAGCATATTCCCTTTAGTTGAGAGCTTTGTAAGGGTAAAGATCACAAAGTCTGACTTGGGTTAGATGAAGTTCTGGCACTTCAAAGACTAGTCACTGGTGAACTTAGTTTCTAAACCTTTGCTATCAAAATTTGATTCTCTCACTTTTTCTCTGTCAGAATTTTACCAATTGCTTTCCCACATGTGCCCTCATTTTTCTCTGTTTTTGTACATTTTCTGTTAGCTTTTTCCTCCCCAGTATTTCTGATATAATAAAGTAGAGCCTTAAGCACTCCATAAAACACTTTTTTTTTTTTTTTGGTAAGGAAATGTCTACTTTATGAGATTATAAAAACTGTAGAAAATTACTTAGTGTTTGTCTAAGAAATATATTAAGCATTTTTGTTTATATCCAAATGTCCCTTGGCCTCTTGGCCTCCTCAGCCTGCTGTGTCTGAAAATTGGAAACAAACATTCGTCATTTGAGTCTCACTCCTCGGAATGCTTATAGCCACACAGTCCACCTGACACTTTTCTCCCTTTCAGATTTTATTGACTGTTTCAACTGAATTATACCATCTGAACCTTTATCGTTTTGTTTACTTCAGTAGATGGAGAATCTCTGTCAGGCATCCACTGTTTCATCCAGAGTGCCATTTTTATTTCAGGATTTCTTCTATAGAGGTGTAATGTGTCGCTTTAAACTAAATTGACACTGAAGTTCATTTCAGTTAAACACAGAGGGAGACAAGATATCCATAGAGGAATTAATTTAAACTGATACAGTGAAATCACCACAAACTCATCTTCTATTTAAATCAGAGTGGTATTTTCCAGGAAAGTCCTCTCTGTTATCCAGTGTCAGTTGTGCTGATGTAATTGCTAATTAATTGTTACACAAATGCCCTTAAAGCTCTGCATAACAAAGAACTGGAACCCAGTACTGAACACAGTACTAGGAGATTGCTTACATGAGTACATATCCCTGAGTACTCTTCCTTGCCCCTGATTTTACCTTCTTTTGCCACCTGAAAGGACTTGGGCATATGAAGGAACTAGGAAGTTAGAGGAGACAGGAGATTGCTGATCATGCATAGCAATTGTGTTGGAGATTTCATAAAGAAATTATAGTACTATATTTCTTTAATTGTGTTAATTATGGGGAAACAAAGAATGAAATTCTGGCATGTTGAAATGAACAACAAAATGCTTGCTCATTTTGACTAAGCCAAGATTTCACCTGAATGACTTCCTGTGAGACAGTCAAATCTATAAGTGATGACATGCTCATTAAAAAAAAAAAAACTGTGGTAAGTAATAAACTTCACTATTAATTAGCTTTTAAAATAGCATTTTTACCAGATCTAATAACTTTTTAATACACAGTATGCCTAGGTAGCACTTTATAGGCATCCTACCTTCTTTTCTTGTACAGTGTTTGGAACTGTTAAAGTGTAGATTCCACTTGTTGTCAGTCCAGACTTGAAAGCCTCAGCACAGTCTTTGAAGCTGATTTGCTCCTCTTTAGCTATGAAGTTGTTCTTAGCTGTTAAAAATGCAACAGAAATTGAAGGCCTTAAGAGAAGATGAACAGATGTTACTAAGAAGCAATTAATGACGCAATCAGCTTAAAACTTTGCAGTTCTGAAAAATACGCCTGGTCCCAAAAGAAATGAAGGTAAAATTATATGTGTTATTACTGTATATTATTTAGAGACATTATTTTGCTATGAGCATGGTTGCTTGATAGGTTAAAAAGTGCTGACTTTCTTAATATGTGGAATAACAGAACTTAGGATATAGTTTCTCATTCAGTTGAACAGTTTCTGTTTCCATTCATTGCCTTTGCTGGGACTCCTTCATGCATTACAACCTCTGCATATTACAAACATATCTAACTAGCAACTGATTATATTAATAATTACCTTCGGCCAGTACTCCAGTGTTGTGAAATCTAACCTAAGAGTTATGAAATCTTTTCTCATACAGATGACTGGAATAACTTCACTTACACAGTTTTAGCTAGTGGTTTTGACCCTGTACTGAGCAGACACAACTTTGTATGTACCAAGCTGAAACTTGGCAGCGCAGCCCAACCCACAAAGGAGATATCCCTTCTGGAATTCATTTGTGTAAAAAATGTATTTTCATATGCCTAAGCCTTCTTATTTTACAGAACAGTCTAAGGCTCATCTTTTTGTTCAGTTCTTTATTAACTATAGAGGTTGGAATTTCCTGGCACTTTGCCTGCTGACTGATATTTCATCTTTTACTCTTTTGGGGTTGGTTCTGTGTATTTTCCCTTTTAACTTAATCTAACAAGCACAGCCTATTAGTACAAAGTTTTAGGTGCCAGATAAATACATGCTTATGTTACAATTGCTTATTATGTTCTCGAAAAAGAACTTGCTTATTCATTATTTACCTGTTTACATGCTTTGCCTTAAACATAAAAATAACACATTCAGTGTTTTAATAGCTTTTCCACACTCTATTGTTTGTATACTGTCTTAGAAGCTTTCCCTGCTAATTTTGTCTTTTTGGCAAGCATTCATTATTTTTTCAACTCTGGGTTTAACAGTGTTGTAGCCAACATGACTTTGACTTGTTTACTTATTTGTGCACTAGCATAGCAGATAAAATCAGCAGGAACATGTACAGCCTTGGTAATGGTATTTAAGGGGACAGTATCGATAATTAAGACAAAAACCTTGGGTTTTACTTTGTTTAGAAAAACTTACGTCATGTAATTTAGGATGCCACTGAAAGCAAAGACCCCTGAACACCCTTTTCCTTTTTTGTGATTCAATTTACAGTAACAAAGCACAGTCCATCTATACTGTTTTCTAAATTGTAATGACAGGTATTTTAAATTTTTTCTAGTATTTAATTTAAAATCTTTTTTAGAGGTATATATGCATCTGTGTTTTGAGCCCTGAGAATTTTACAGGCAAATGTGCCAAATTCTTTACTGTTTTATATATAACAGCTATACATTATTAATTTGACAAAGTTCCATATCAGACATGAAATTCAAAGTAAGGAATTCGTTCATTTGTTTAAATTCTGTTTAGCCATAACTTGCAGTTTATGGCTTGTGTGGGCTTTTTTAATGGAGCATGTGAATCTGCCTAAACTTGGAAGCTGTGCTCAGTGAATACAATTTGTTGCAGGGCTGTCAAGCATCTAAAGGTGAGATTATTGCCTACAAAATTTGCGAGGCTGAGGGATTTTTATAATGAACAGGGAAGCTTCAGTGAATGACCGAGGACTTCTGGGAGTACCTGCTGCCCTGGGCTGGGGCTTTTGTTGTTTGGGGCATACACAGGTGCTAAAAACTGAGCCAGTACTGATTCCTTTGCCTTTTATAGACACTGTAATTTGTCCTTTCTTTGATCAGCTCTGCACAGAGCAATGACAGGTGGCAGAAGCAACCCTTGGGAGCCAGGACATCATCTACAGGACAGCCCTACATCATGCAGTCTAACTTAAATATATGGTCAATATATACATGAATGAATGCCATGTGAGATGAATGATACTTGGCATCTCTGTGTTTTGTAGTACTGAAGTCTCCAGGCAAACCAATATAAATCACAGAAGATGAACAAAATGTTGAAAAGAAAACATACAGATGTTGCGGCTGTTTCCCCACGACCACCACCTCCCCGTGTGCCCCTAAAAAATAGGTTCATTAACTCAGATGCAAAATTTAAGGAAAATTATATAATTTTTGAGAAGCAGAAGTGTGGCAAAACTGGTTGTTAAGACTTTACAGTTAATAATGTACACAATTTTGGGAATGTCACTCAAATGATATAAGCATGTCTGCTTTTACTTACAGTTTGGTGTAGATATCATAGTAAGCAAGTTGTGAACAGTCTCCATCAGATCATGTTGCTGTTTTTGCAAAACTGAGTTGTTTACTGTAGCTGTAACTAACTGTTTTTCTAGTTCTTCTATAATAGAATTCTGTCTGGCTACTAGGACCTGAAGCTGATCTTTTTCATCTTTTATTGACTTCAGCTGAAGAGTGTGCTTGTCTTCCATCTCAAGAACTCTTTTTTCTAGAAAGCTAAATAAAGGATTACAGTTAGGCTCCAGAGAAACAATTCTGATATGTAAAGAGACTCAAGCCTGTTGCAGAAATTTCTTTCTTCTTAAGTACTCAACTTCATTCTCTAATGCCATGAATGCAATAGAAAGCTAAAGAAAAGCTGAGTTTAGTTTGATACATGTGCTTTAATTTATTATATTAGTACATTCATAAACAACATCTACTATAGTCTGTTTAGCAGGCTTTTAAAGTGTAATAACTGGGTGTTTGATAATTCAACAGTATGAAAGAAAAGATATAGTGGAAGATTTCATGATTTTTACCCTATTAAAAGATAGAACTTATTTAAAGATGAACCTATGAACTTTTTGAACATTCTGTAATTATAGTAAAATATAAACTTAAATAAACATTATGGTGTTAAGACAGGGAAACATGCAAATAGTTGCTTGAATATGTGTAATCCATCTCCTGTTCTGGAGCTGGTATGAGTATTTGACTGGCTGGAATATTATTTCATTGGTAATTCTTCTGATGCACGCTCTGAGAAAGCTGATGTTAAAAGATGCATGACCAGAAGGGATAAGTTTACCTAAATTCCGCTGCTGTTATCGAAAAACAAAAATCCTGAACCTTATGTTTCAAGCAGATTAGCTCAGTATTAGACTCTCTTTTGTTAGGTGAGAAATAATGCTTTTGTCTTTACGTGGGTTTTACAAGGGTAATCGAAAGTCTGCAGAGTTCAACACACAAAAAAAAAAAAAGTGACATTTTAAAATTCAGTGTTTACTTTGCTTTCCATTTGATAAGGATGCTTGTTTTTATTAAGCTGGTAGATAAAACTTTTAGGGAACGTATATAAATGTAGTAGAGTAGTGAACTAAAATGTCAAAACATGTCTCCTGGGTTTTTAAGCTAATTCTTTCAAAATAAAAAGCACTTTGCACATATGTTTCTCATTGAAAAACATGGCTTTGAAGAAGAAAACCTACTGTTATTGCTGCTTTTAGATTTCTCTGTAAACTATTTACTGCCAAAAGTAAAATAGGACCCTGGTGATATGAAAATGACACCAGCTGAAAAAAGGTATGAGCCTTTGGACAACAGCTGAGTACAGAAACTGGTGGGAGCAATAGTTGAATATAGGTCTGAATTTCAAAAGATTGACTAGTAAGGAATATTGAATATGAGTAGCGTTTGACTTTACTTACCAGCTTAGAAAAAAATTCTGGCGAAGACCTGATTGTGTATTCAGATAGCTGCGTACTACTTGGAAATAAGGTTTAAAGATGGGGTTGCACTGGATTAGTTTGAGTCAGGTTATATAATGCGTAAGTCTAAAGAAGAACACAAATTGGCTACAACTGAAGTACTGAGAAGTGTTTCAGTTTTAACCTTAAGTTCCACATACAGAGGAAAACTTTAAATAATGAAGTATTATATATAAGCAGAAAACAAGAAGAATAAACCTGCATGATTCTCTAGGCTTTAAATAATATATGACCTTTGTAATGGGCATAGCTGGGTGTGGAGAGCTTCTATACAAGGCCTTATTTTCCTATATGAGTACATCTGTTTTTAAAACCATTAGGACACATCAGGGAATAGCATTTTATTGAGTTGATAGGCAAACTTACCTGTTCTTTTCTTGTAATTTAGTAATCTCATTGGTCTGATCTGAAATCTGTCTTTCTAGTTTGTTTGTTGAAAGAGAGTGTTCCAAAAGCTGAAGTTCAAGTCTGGTTGTCTGGTTTAATACCTAAATAAAATGTATAAAAATATTTGAAAATTAAGATTTTTTTAAAATAAATTGTAATTTCTTTGTGTGGTGAAATATCTACTTAAGCCTGTAAATAAAATAAAATAAAAAATATATTTTTAACACCTAATTTGGGAACAAATGCCCATAGGAATAGAATGAAGAAGAATACACGGAGTTGCACCGATTTTTTTTGTTACACTACCATGTATCATTGGGAATATTTCAGTAGTACACTATGTTTCTAATCAATGGCTGAAACTTGCTGTGTACTTTAGTTTTGTTGTCATTCTTTACCCTCTGATGTTCTTATTTTATTACTGGAACTATCATGGTGGCTGTTCAGGGAATAAGTTTCTCAGTCTGGTGTAGAAAGTAAGTAATTTGCTTATCTTTCACTGGCTGAAATCTTGGCCCAGTCCTGAAATCACTAGATAGTTCACTCTTAGCTACTTTCGTTAATCCCAAATTATATTTTAAAGTGTTAATCATGTAAACCACACTTTGGTTATTTCACTCCTTGAATTTTAATGTTACCTTTTCTCTACATGTATTGTTTACTATCTTTAAATGAAGAAATGCAGACATTAGAAAACATGGAAGATACTTTTTGGTTTGTATCAGATTGCATTACTTTGAGGCATGTTTTCTAGAAATAATTTCTCATTGTTTTAGAACAGCTTTTTTTAATTCAGCAGAATTTGGCTTTCCTTGGCAGGAAGAATTGATTACTCATGTCCTTCATGTTAAACAGTCATTCAGGACATGATTTCACACTTAAGTGTAATTGTAAACTATTGCCAAAAGCAAGTGTCCTTGAGAGAGCAATTGTTTGGCTAATTTCCTTATGTTGCTAATTAAGCCCTTAACCCAGTCACCAGTAATTTCGAGCAGAGAAGGAAAGTTACAGTGATGATTTTCTTCCTCTAAGCAGAAAATAATTGAGTAATTTCCATAAAGGCATTACTGTGAATGAATAAGTACATTCTCCTAACATCTGCAAAATAATGGGCTCCTGAATAATGCAGTCAGAAAGTTTAATTCAGTACGCCTGTCAGCTATGAACTATCAGTTTATCAAGGAGTTCAGAAAGGCTTGCTTTAGGTTAAAATATGTAACTTAATTCATTGGATGAGTTCTACAGACAGTAAAAAGGCTAGCAAGGAAAGACAAATCCTTTCTTTTTGTTTGTTTGAAATAATTTAGAGACTAATATGTACAGTAGGCAAGTTTATTTCTGTGCGAATTTGCTCATCTCTCACTTTTCTAGTAGTCTCCTCCTAATTCCTTTTTCTTGATTTACCTCTGATTTTTTTACTTATCCCCCTGTTAAATGACAATAATACTGTGCATTGTGCTGGAAATGAACTATTATCCTACTTACAGTATATGTGAAAACATTCATTAAAAAAACACACAAAGAAAACTGAAAGAAAAAGAAAACCTGATAAATGGAAGAAAGGCAGGCTGAAGGAATCCTCTTTTTTCTGGTTGTGAAAGGTGCATTGTCAACAAAGATATACAATGGGGGTTGTATAAAAGCACACTAGTACCCAACTGATGCTTGGATATAGTATAGTAGTTTTAAGTACATTATCCTTAAAGATGAATGGAACAATTGTCTTGTTAGACACACTTCAAATCCTCCTGGAAGTTTTTCAAGTGACAACAGTGGGCTTGAGATGGAACTATGTATTACTAATTACTAATGTTTCTTTAAGCTGGATAGAGCTGTTGATTATAATGATTGATTTCTAACTGTTGAACTGTGTAGCGTAACACTAAACTGTGTTAGAAGTGTAGTTGTGGGTGTGGGGGAAGCAGAAGCATTTTTAGTTTGAAATTCATTACTTACTTGTGCTTCAACATCTGTTAATTTGCGAGTCTGTTCAGCTGTTTGATTTAGTAAGTTTGTGCCTATTTCAATCATTACTGCAGTCTGGTTCTGCACTGCAGTTTGCTGGATCTCTACCATTTCTTTCTTCATACTGTCTTGGATGTAATTCTCAAGCTACATGGGAAAGGAAAGAGAGAAGAAGATAGTTGCATTCTTTAAATGTTGGAGGGGGGGTAGTACAGTAAGGCTGCTGGCTGCCTTGCTAAACAAATTTGTTCCTTGTATGTTATACAGTTCTGTGAAGTTTCCTCATGTTAAGCTCTGACAGGAAGGGCAAACATGACAAGGAGTGTGTGGCCACCCATTTTCTACAGGCAGGAATGAGATTTGTAGGAGGTAGGCAGAAGGTGCAGTGGTGAGAATGCTTGCAGGCACTTGGAAGCTTTCCTGCCTTAGTGCGCCCACCACTATAACCATCAGAGAAGCTTCACCAGCTTTGGCAGCAATGGGAATGTTTTAGAAGACAAAAGCTTAGGAGTTTAGTCATCTTCCTGTATCTAGACTTAAATATTTTCAAAAGCATTTTTCATCATATGACTAGAAGTCAGAGAAGAGGTCAGATGTCATTTAACACTGTTCTCTGTGCATTTTTATCAGAGAGAATTTTAAATAAAGAAACGAAACAGTAGAAAAACCTTAAGCACTTTTAAATGCTTAATATTTAGGAATGCAAAAACTGGTTTAAATACTTGATTCTGAAGTCATTTCTGTGTCTAAACTAATAAGGCTTTTTTGGTAGTCATTTTGTAACAGAGTACACTGCTTTGAGATTCAGATCTGGCACAAGCTTTGAACCACACCTACTATACTGCTGTGTAAATAACTATGGATACTAAACTTTATTCTTCAAGGTCGGCTCCTTATTAATGAGAGAGAGATCAAAACGGTAATCTGAGCAAAGCTATCTCTGCAAAGACGATTACAGAACTCCATGATTTCTTTGAAAATGTTATCACTGTCTTATTCCGAAACACACCACTAGAAAATGAGTTAATTCTGGGCTTAAAGGTAAGGTAAACATTTTATGGTAGGCTCAGGCAATTGCCCAGTTAAAACACACAGCTGTAATGTTGCTCTGATTACAGTAGACAAAACCCGTGATTACAATTTACGGCATCTGGTAGTTCTGGTTGCCAGATTTTTACACCCCTTGTCACTCTGCTTGCAACCTTCAAAAGCAGTTTTGTTTGGACACACGGATCTGCGTTTTCATAATTTATCTTATTTGAATATCTGTGAGTATAAGCCTATCTCCAACTATCTAACCTCTTTCAAATGGCATCTCATTCATATGATGTATTCTAAATCACTGAAGCATTCTCTTGACTTTAGTTTAACAATTTGTCATCACATCTGTTTCTAAACTTAAAAATATTAAATAAGTAACTTAGGGAATATGGTATTTGTGCTTACTTGAAAGCATGAAATATGAACATCAAAAGGGATTTATTTTAAGATTTAAAGCCAATTTTATGATCTGGCTCATTAATTCCAATTTAGAGCAACATGCAGCATCAAAATGATACTGACCTATAAAGTGACTTTGGAGCTTCTCAAGGCTTTTTTTCTCCAAAAAAAACCCTACAGACCCTGACTACATAAATACCTTCTGTTTTTCCCTTCATATTCACTAGTCCTCTCCCACTTTTATGCAATCTCTTATGTACACATCATAAAATCTCTTTTCCTGACCTGAATCAATATACACACTCATCCCCCTTTTCTTGTAGTTTCCTCCCTCTTCATCATACAGCGGAAAACTGTAGAAAGTAGACCTTTGTACTATTACATTTCATCATTTTTTAGGGGCAGGTGCTTATTTTCATCTCTCTTCAAAGACAAATAAAGGAATTATTTTAATCCAAAATACCCATTGTCTCCCACTGACCTTAGCAAGAGCAGAACATGTTCCCATTGCATACTTTCAGAAAGCAAGGCTCTTGGGCTTCCCTGAGAGGGAGGTGGAAGAACCTTTTCAATACAGGCTCCAGTTAAGACAACTAAGGCTAAATTTCATCAACACTGAGGATTAGGAGCCATTTTGAAAGGCTTCAGTTCTTTGTGGCATATTTCTTTGTAGAATACTATTTATCAGCTCCTACCGAGGAGCCTCCTTCCTTTGTAAGAAGTAGCACACTCAGAATTTCTGCAAGAGAGAGAATACCTTGGAACATTTGCAAGAAGGAATGGCACAGGAATAAAATGCTTCAGTCCCAGTCTGTGAGTTCAGAAGCTTGGTCTGAACAGTATGTCTTCTCCCATATTTTGCTCAAATTTGGAAGGTGCAGCAGGGATTATTTGTCAGATTTCTCCTAGCCACATGGCTAATTATGGAAAGTCAGCTTTTAATCTCTTTTTAATTTGATTAATAGCTGGTGTGTAAGACTTTTGTTGACAATATGTCAACCCAGATTACATGATGGTTATTTTGGACAAAGTAATTGTCAAAAAATAGTGAAAAAGCAGACTATTAGTGATGCATCTTTCAGAAATTCTGCTTTTGAGGGAGTAAGTCAATCAATCCTATCTTAAAGGAAATTGCAGGGAAGAGGTAAAGAGGTATTAATATATTCAGATTTGAAAGAAGGAATAGATAGTTAATAGCATTTCAGTAAGTCTTCATGGGATTCTTTTCATGAAGCATTCTATTTTTTGTGTAAGACTGGCTGGCATGTGTTCTTCAAGAAAGTAAATATAAAAATGAAAACAGATGGGAAAAAACCCATGTCTCAAAGTATGCTTAAATAGCAAAAACAGCTGGGAAAACTGAAAAAAAAAAATAAATTCACCATTAAGATTTGTAATATAGTTACGGTAATGCATTTTTAGAGAAAAAATTCTCTAAGGTCATCAGCTTGGGGCTGTCATGCTTTATTACTTCAAATCATACAAAATCATAAAATTTGATGAAAATACTTTAACAACATTACCAAAAGAACGAGGACAGATCAGTCATATTGGAGCACATTCCAAAACATTGCTCTTATAGCCAAGATTGTCTTTTTTTAAGTAAGCTTTAAATTGGCAAGAAAGAAAAGACAACATGTGGAGTATGCGTTAAAAGAAATTTGTTTTCTAACCATTGGCAGAGATAGTATTAATCCTTTATGAAAAGTTGCCAGTACTTAATCTAAATGAAGAGCCTTCCTGACTGCTATTTTATAGTATCTATATTACAGAACAATTTTCCAAAAAATCAATAACTTAATTGGGCATTCTGGAGGCACATTATCATTCTTTCATTTAAAGTTATAAATGAGGTCTTGCTTTTGTTCTTTGTTGTCAAATGGGCTAGTACTAATTAAAGAGTCATGTTCCTGGCAGCATTTATAACTATACGAAAGCATACATCCCTTCTTTGCCAAATGCTGCCTTGTATAAATGGTACAAATAGTACTGGCTGCTAGTTTCATTTTATCAAATTTGTCATTTATTAGAGCAGTCTTTCCTAATAAAGTTTGGTGATTTTCTTAATGTTTATATTACTGATTCTTTCAACTGTAACATTTCTTTTCAGAGATCAGTATGTTAATCCTGAGTTTCTACATAGTGTTGTGTCCCTTAGTAGAAGTAGGAAGGTGGCTGGAGCTGCATGATCCTTTGTATCCAAGGATTCACCATCCAACCCCTAAGATCATCAGAATCTATCAAGATCTTTTTTCCTTGAATCAAATATGGATTGCTAAACTAAGCAATTCATCACTTTCAAGGACATTATCTATAAATTTAAGAAAATTCCAAAAGCAGTGTTTAGACTTTTCTTGTCAAATGAAATCTGAAGATAATCTTTATTCTTACAACAAAGCATCCATTCTAAAATTGATAGAAGTATCAAAGAGGTCAAAGTTTATCTGCAGTCATATCTCTGTAGCCCTGTATTTAGATCAGCAGATTCATTGCAAAAAAAATGTCATTAGCCCGATAAACTCAGCAACTGCTGTGTGTGATACACTGTATGAAGCTCAGCTGCATTTAGGTTGTTCATTCTAACAGCTGATTGCTGGATAAATGGAACGGTCATAGACCTCCATGCTCCAGCCATGTGTTCCTGCTCCCCTCCTTGCACCAGCTCTCACAATATTTTGGGACTTTTGACTAAGCCTGGAGGCACTAACTTCAAAGAAAAGAAGGGGCAATGTCCCATCAAGTTTGTGGATTGTGGATCTGTCCTAGATGTCAAAGCTGTTACTAAGATAACTGTGGCTGTCAATAGCGTAGAAAAGTTGCTGTAAGAAGTAACATGATTTAAAATTATATGCTAGAGTTTTAAATACACACTTTGCCCGATATTTGCCTAAGGATATTAGTGTATACCAGGGTCACTGTCTTCCTCTGATTGCACTGACAACTGATGGTTCTCCTGCCATTAATTTGAAGTTTTAGGCCCTTGATATTCTTGGCATTGGCTGTCTGATAAATATGGAATAATTTAACTAAAACCAGCTTTCTTCTTAGTTTGAATGGGGAAAACCAAAGAATATGCATTAGGTTTCCATGAGAAAGAGCTGTTTGTATACAGACTTTGATTGTGCCTAGTAATTAGTTCACAAAGTAGTTCAAAAGAACTTGCAGAAGTTGTATTGCAACATGTATTGGAACACATATTGCATGCTTAGTCATCTAATGTAGATACAGAGAAAATTGCAGGGATAATGGCATGTCTCTAGTCTTTTTCCTCTTATTTTTGTTCTGAATTTTCGAAAGTGGAGTAGATCCTGTAGAAAACCTAACAGAAAATACAACATTTACAACTAGGCACTTTTAAATATACATTAAAGCTACAGTGTTTGATATATATTAAGCTGTCAAAAGCTTTTTGAGTTACTACTCTTGCATCCCTACTGAAAATGTCCTGTGCTTTATTCAAAACATATCGTGAATTTAAGCCAAAGGCATTAAATCACCTCTTCCAATACCTTTAGTCATCATCCTGACATTTTTTTCTCTAAAATTTGTGTTTATACACAAAAGTGAGCAAGATGGAAAATGAACTTAAGCATCCATAATCAGTTTAGCTTAGTTCTAGTGACATGGCAAAACACGAAAACCGCTGATGAGTTTCATTAGTTCTTTTTCTGAATAGTTTTTCAGAGTACAGGTGAGACCTTCCTGTT